TCCAACTGGGCGACAAATTTGCAACGTTTTTGCCTGGCATGAGAGGGGAGTGGAGCAAAGGTCATAATGAAAACAAGTTCCGTAGGGTTGACGGGTTTCTTCCAGAAACTTTTAAAATAGGCCAAGACGTTTGATGGTGGTTCCCGATTGGAATCGACGAACGTTCGGTGGTTCACCTTATGCGATCTGAAACTCGTCCTGATCGTGACGTTTCTGAGTCAAAAGTATCAAGTTCCCCCCTCCCCCCACCTCTCTTGAAAGCTCGTTGTTCTTCCGCAAATGCGGACTTCTTTCTAAGAAGTTTGGGTGAAATTCCATGCGTGGTGGAGGCGATCTCTGATAAGTGAGAGCTGGCGTGAGAACTAATGAAAAGCGACCTGCTCTCTTTTCGAACTGGACTGGATAAGCATGGTCCTCAAAAGGCCCACATGAGGGTTCCATCGGCTAAACCTCGGACCTTTTTGTAAAATATGTGTCCCAATTTATGGCCGAAAAGTGCAGTCAGCTGTTGGAAACGAACCAAAACTCCTACGGAGAGACATATTTCATTTTTGCAAGCCCTTATAAGGGCCGTTAACGAGAGCAAGAAGTGAAAAATGGAAGGGAATGTTCTTTTCGCTGAGGATGTGACAAAGGATTTTAATTTTGCTCAAGGGTTTGAGGAACTGAAGGGTCTTATTTGAAGAGTCACAGTTGAAGTTCCTTATTGGGTCGGGAGGTTAGAAACACAGGAATCAGCATAAATGGGTGGACAGAATGGGTTCTTTCCCAGGCCGCCCTGGGTCTTTCGTTTCTCTGATTCTACCGATAAATCAGTGGTCGCTTTGATATTGGGATACAGCATCGTTGTGTGAAACACATAGGGGGGGTCGTTCCTTTCTGCTAGTTACGGGGTCGTATTTGGTCGTTGGAAGAGGTAGGGTTGTATGTGGGCTTGGAGCTTTGAGAGAAATTTGCCGCTTCGGAAGAATTTTCCTCGGTTTTTGTTTTTTCGAGTGTTTTTTCCTGTTTCACATGTGCTATTTATCCCTCCCCTGTTCGACGGAAAAATCTTTGGGTGAAAAGCTGGAAATGTGGAAAATTGGTGGATACAGGTCTTGGCGAAGGGGGGTGGGGTCGCACCGAGACCCTTCCCTAGGTGGGGGTCGTACTGACACACCACTTCACACATCACGATGCTGTACCTTGTTTGAGGATAATTCTGAAAAATTATTGTATGTCCGAGAAGTAGTGCTCTACCTATCTTGATTTCCAGGCGTGCGGCTACAGTGTTCACTGCGCCACCACTAACTTATCGCAAGGCTCTCGAAGACGGACTGAGTGAAGTTGACGACATTCGAAGCCAATTGGAGAAGCTCCAACTCCTTGTTTCTCAGGTCAGAATTTGCAGTGCTTTTCACTTAGGCAGTATCTCCACAGAGAAGTCGTTAAACATGCATAGGGTTAAAACCAAGGATCACAAGAATTCTGATGGGCAAAAGTCTGATCCCAGGCGGAAGTCAACCTCGCACATCGTGCTTTCCGAGCAAGTGCGCTATACTTACGCCACCCAGACCACTCTTATCCTCTCAGCTTGACGGCTTTTATGGCGTGGCCTTACAACACTTACACTCGCCCGGAAGGCGTGTGGTTCGGGTTTAAGTCCCTCGTCGGGTGACTTTTGTCCGTAACTCAGCATTCTTGTGATAACTTTCGGAGCGCGAATTGCAACGTAAGCGGCAATTAATCATAATAAAATAATACAAAACTTAGGGTTCAGCCACGTTATTCGTACTGTTTACTCAGACTGGTTGAAAATGCGCGATTTACTGATTTACTTCTTTCATATCAGAGCAGCTCCTTTCTTGAGCTCGGCCTGTAATTCATCGATACAGAACGTCTTTGCGAACGTCTCTTACCGCTCGCACTGAGGTGGCACTCTTTTGTTGTCGCCGTGTCTGTCAACATTTGCCCGCAGTGACTAAGATCCATTCGACAGGGAACATAAGAAGCTCTAATTGTTTGGCGGACGCATACTTGCATGTGAGGAACCCTTTGTGACCATTTCCTACCAGCAAACTTTATGTTGCTAAAGTTGAAAAAGGAATAATTCGATTCCATCGCTTTGAGTAGAATTTAGAAGCTGTCTAGTGGCAAAGTGAAAAGGCGCTAATAATTTTGAAGTGGCATTCAAAAAGGGTACTTTTCGCCGGGGGGGGGGGGAAGATTTCCGCCAAATAAGACCCAACACTCGAAGGTTCCCCCTATGGTACGACCTCGTCTCATCCCCAACCGCATTCTACGTGCCATCCTCCCGAAAGCTTCCTAATTCTTTTACGGAGTTTTTTTTTCGTTGAAATCCTCAATTTTTCATTCGAAAAGTCGCCGTCGAGCGGGAGTGTGGGTGAAGGGGGTAAAAAGTGCATTTATGACGGGGGGAACCGAAAAAATTAGCAACCGAAGACAATTTTCCCGAAGGCGAACACGACCATCCCCTCCAACGAGCAAATGCGACCCACGTCAGTGGGGATTCCCAACGAACGGCGTGCGCTAAGTATGGGCTGGGTAGTCACTCGACATGCGGCTTTCATTTCAAGTCATCGGACCCACAAAACCCCTACATCCATGGTTTTTCCAGAAATATTCTTTTTCAACTGGAAGGGTGCATTTTTGGTGCTGACCGCTAAGTTGGGCTTCAAGTTTTCTCCTAGATATCGATGAGGGTTGAGAAATCTTTGTTTGCACGGCTAATTCATCTTCGATTTGTTGAACCTTCAGCTGTTGGCATCAGTTCCCACCGACAAGTTTCGATGTCCGTTATACTATTACATAGTTTCCCTGGGGTAATACTATTACATAGTTTCATAATTCAGTAGATTTCCTTGGCACATTTCATTTCATCCATAAATACGAAATCAACGAATCCACCGTTCCAGAGGGCAGAAGGCTTGGTTAGCCTGGGCGGGAGCCAATCCGGTATTTGACCCTGGATTGCACGTGTGATAGCCACTTGCCACTACAACAATCTCAAGATCTGAAGAAATCCAAAAAAAGTAAAGCACGTCTCGAAGTTTGTTTCAAGCTTTTCGGAGCTGCACTTCGTGGGAATGTCTAATACTTCATCCACATGGAGTGGGTTGCTTCTGGTTATTGCTGACCACATGTGGAATTTTGTGGTCAGCAATCGATCACTCCTAGAAATACCGTTGATATTTGTTCCAAAGACTGATAAGTGACAACAGTGGCGTGACCAAATATTTCATGGCGATGTACATGCTTGAAAACCAGCAATGAATTCTCTTTTCTAGTTCGAGCCCAAGCGGGGGTACAGTAGCTTCAGTGAGGAGTGTTGTAGAGACTTCAGCAGCAATTGGAACAATGTGTTAATTTCTTCAAATTAAGTTGTTTTTATACAGTACGAATGTCAACCTAACGAACCGCGAAGAAGATGGGAGCGCGTAATTTCCGTGGACGATGTCCTTAATACATCATTCGGAGTATATAACGCATAGCCTTGACTTAATGTGACCT